GTTCCCCGAATAAAACAAAGCATCAAAAATCCTCGAATTTGCTCTAGTAACTTGATTAATATCAGTCCAATTATACCAGTTTGCAGTGACGGCACCTTTGATCTAAAACTAGGAGTACTTAACATAAGATCTCTTACATCTAAAGCCGTTGTTGTAAATTAAATTATTACCGATCATGATTTTGATGCTCTGTGCCTCACAGAAACGTGGATTAGACCCAATGAATACTTTACTCTAAATGAAGCCCCCCCATAGGCTTCATTTAGAGTAACAAATAAGAAGGATTGAGGAATGAATAAGAATTTCTTTTCACTAATGACAATCTATAGGCTGCCAGGGCCATATTCTCACTTTCTGTCTCACTTTCTAAGTTTAATAATGTTTTCAAATAAAGTAATAATTGTCTGAGATTTTAATATACACTTTGACAAACCTCAAGATACACTAAGTAAGACATTTATTTTTGTCTGAGACTCTGTAGGTTTCACTCAAAATATAAAGGGGCCACTCATTATTGCAGCCATACTTTAGACTTAATTTTAACCTTTGATGTAAACATAGACAACTTAGCCATTCTCCCCAGAGCAAAGCAGTCTCAGATCATTATCTAATTTCATATGAAATTCGCTTTAGTGGTAATGTACGTTCATCACCAGCATGTTAAGCGGACTATAACTAACCACAGCTGGTAGCTTTATCAGAAACCTTCCTCAATTATCAGCTTCTATCACCTGTCCATCTAATCTGCCCGAATTAGATATTATGGTCAAGTGCTTAGAGGATACTTTTCTATCTACTCTAGATAATGTGGCTCCTTTAAAAAGTAAAATAATGAGGCAGAAAAAGCTGCCCCATGGTATAATGATCATACTTGAACTTTAAAATAGACTGTCAGACAACTAGAACGAAAATGGCGCCTGACTAAACAAGAAGTGTTCCAGTCCGCCTGGAAGGAGAGCCTTACAGACTATAGAAAAGCACTGCAGCATGCTCAACCTCTCTCTCCTCTCTCATAGAAAACAATAAGAATTATCCTAGATTATTATTTAGCACAATCTCTAAAATAACTAAGAACCAAACAGTTACTGAACCCCAGATACCATTAGCCTATAGCAGCAATGATTTTATGAATTTCTTTAGTGATAAAATTGAAAAAATTAGGCAGAAAATTCAGAACGCACAGTTAAACTCTACAAACCTGCTGCCTTATAATACCAGTCTAGACCTTGAGAATATTATAATTACTGCAGAGAGGCTGGAATCATTACTTTACTTCAACAAAATGAACTAGGTAAAATTGTTTCCTCCTCAAAATTTTTAACTTGTATGTTAGAGCCGATTCCTACAGGTTTACTCAAAGAAATTTCTCCAGAAATAACCAAACCCATTCTGTCAATAAATATATAAATTCCTCTCTTACATCCCAAAAACTCTTAGACTAGCTGTAATTAGACCTCTGATTAAGAAAGCTAACCTTGATCCCTGCAAACTATCAAACTATAGACCTATATCGAATCTCTCCTTTATATCAATGATCTTGGAGTTGTGGCAAAACAATTGAGTTCCTAAGTGCATAGGAATCATATACATCAAAAATTTCAGTCTGGTTTTAGGCCACATCATAATACAAAGACAGCACTAGCGAAAATTATAAATGATCTTTTATTATTCTCTGACCAAGGAAATGTGTCTTTGCTAGTCCTGCTTGGTCTTAGTGTGACATTTGACCACTCTTACTAGATAGACTAGAAAACCTTGTAGGGGTAACAGGAATAGCTCTTTCCTGGTTCAGATCCTACCTCACTGATCTCTATCAGTTTGTTAATGCAAACTGTGAATTATCTGTGCTCGCAAAAGTAAAGTACAGTGTTCCACAAGGCTCTTACTATTCACATTATATATGCTACCACTGGGCACCATTATCAGTAAACACGGCATCAATTTCCACTGCTACACTGATGACACACAGTTATATATATCAATCAAACCAGATGATAAAATTAAACTCTGCAAGATCAAGGATGCTGTGCAAACCTGACCCTCATGAACTGACCCTTCTGATGCTGCTGCTGCATAAACTGTTTTCCCCGTTTTGTATTCTGATATTTTATACAAGTGCTGTTTGCTATCCGGAGTCGACCAGAGGAGGATGGGTTCCCCTTTTGAGTCTTGACTCCTCTCAAGATTTCTTCCTCTTGCTCTTAGGGAGTTTTTCTTTGCCACTGTTGCCATGCTGGATTTTTCTGTAAAGCTGCTTTGTGACAACACCTGTTGTAAAAAAGCGCTATATAAATAAACATTGACTTGAGCTTTGAGGTAGGTAAATCTATTGGATGGGTGAAGGTAGTTGTGTCCCCTCAGTATTTTGTTTTACTCTTTTGTCTAACTGATCCTGTCACAGTGACTGGCTGCCAAAAGCTTGTGTTGTTGGAAACATGCATTAATCTAATCACCCTTTCATGTAAAAATTTCATTTTAGAAATTAGTACTTTAACCCTTGTGTGGTGTTTACATTTTTGTTACTTAGTGGGTCTGGTGGACCCACCACTTAGATGTTTTTTATAATAAGCATAATTTATGCAAAAATATCATATGTTTAAAATATCACAAGTGGCCACTGTAGGATTCTCCTTCGGCAGCTGTAGCCAGTCCGCAGCCTGTCCATGTTGTCCACCCTCTCTCTCTCTCTCTCTCTCTCTCACACACACACACACACACACACACACACACACACACACACACACACACACACACACAAACAGCAGGCCATGTAAGAAGAGGACAGGACCTCCAGACTTTTTTCATTTTTTCAGACAAAAATATACAGTAAAATGAGTACAAAAAAAAGTTAAACAAAAACACAAATGCAACACTTTTGGTTTTGCTTCTGCTTTGAAGGCAATTTGATATAAAAAAAAAAAAAAAAAAACAATACTCCCCCCACCCCCATAAGAAATGTGTCATGCTGCTGTGGGAATTGCGCTTCATGGCCCACCCTGATTTTGCAGGATTTCAGTGAATTTGTTAAAAATACTAGCTCACCAAAGACTGTGGTATTGTATTTAAATTATAGAGAGATAAAACGCAGTCAGTTTTATATAAGCTTCTGCGAGACCTGCATCCCAAAAAATAAAAAAAAATACATTTACAACAACCAAACCTTGTTCTCCAATGACTTGGAGACACTATGCACATCAAAGGAAGAACCTAATGGAGCGCTGACCATGTGAAAGGGCTAAAAGTGTAGTCAACAAAGTCAAGGCTGACAAAAAGGACTGGTGCTCCTCAGAGTTACATGATCTCTCCTCCTCTACAATGTTCTTCTAACAGTGACTCTGTTAACCTAAAGTTGAGCAAATAACACAAGTCAGGCATCTAGGATCAAAGCAGACAACACCCATAAAACCTTGGAGTAGGACCTAAAATGGGACAGACACACCACAACAGTTATGGGGAAAAAAAAAGCCCAGCAGCACCTGCATTTCTTGAGATGGTTAAAGTAATACTGGGATGTAGATGCAAGCTACAGTCTTACTGAACTGAGTCTGTAGATGTAAGCTATGGTCTCACTGAACTGGAACTGTAAATGTTTCAAATGTAAAGTTGGCAACTGAACCAGCGTCACCTTTTCTAGGGGAAATGTAGATATTTAGTAAACTATGTAGTTTAACATAAAATCTAGTTGGCGTAGTGCAACCCATTTTGATTTAGTAAAGCGTAAACCTGAACTTAGAAACCACTTTACTCATCTACATTTAAAATTACATACAGGGTTCACCCAAGAGAACTGAACCAGAACCCCCCACCAACCAAATGTCAAAGGCAGCCCCCACCCATACTTAACCAGCGCCCCCATACAAATTTAACAGCAACCCCCAAACTGAACAGCAAACTCACACCAACTAACACCCCCATCTAAACCAAACCATAAGTCCCCCCCCTTTCACACCCAAATTAAAGCAGTAGTCCCCCCTCCCAGACCCAACCTAAACTAGTTGTCCCTCGCCCACAGCCAACCTAAACCAGAAGTCCCCCCCAACACCCAACCTAAACCAGCAGTCCCACCCACACCCAAATTAAACCAGAAGTCCCCATCCGATGACCAACCTAAACCAGCAGTCCCCCATCCGATGACCAACCTAAACCAGCAGTCCCCCATCCCACAGCCAACCTAAACCAGCATTTCCCCCTCCCACAGCCAACCTAAACCAGCATTTCCCCCCTCCCACAGCCAACCTAAACCAGCAGTCCCCCTCTCCCACAGCCAACCTAAAAACATTGACTTCAATGAAATATCACTATAACACTGAGATCTTCAGCTTATTTTCAAGACAGCCACTTCTAGATTATTACTTAGGGTTAAAATGTCCACACTTTAAAATTTCCAACTGAGAAAAAAAACAGTCTTTTAAGGCATACAACAAGAAGATGGAAAAGGAAGAAAGAGTAAATAAATGTTATTTGGGTACAATAATATATATATATATATATACACACTGAAGTGATCCAGGCCAGTTTAAAGACAAATACGCCTCCCTCCCTCTTCCAGGAATAGTCTGGGCAGAAAATCAGTAAACAGAATTAAATCTAGAAGGTAGCTGGAGCTGACTGCAGTCTATCAGACCCCTGAACTCCTCGCGCTAAAACCAATCTGAATTTATTATCTGAATAATTGGTCTTATTTGCAGCGTTGAAGCAACAAGCCAACATGAATGAAATATAAATTACCAAAACACTGATAAACATAACATTTCTTTAACATACATAGACATTTTTCCTGTCATTTTGGACGAAATGCATTTCGTAAATCTTTACGAAATGCAGGTAAATCTTTTAGTATTTATCAGCCACCTCAGCCCAGCAGACACACGGGAGTTAACAGACTATGAACCTGATTTTAGAGCAGTTTTACACACTTTCAGTGCAGATTTAGTGTTGAAAACCAGTACAACTCTTAGTAACTGTGGACCAGGAAACACAGACATACAGAGAACGCTCACCTCGCAGGAGGATCAGGATTAAATCTAGAAGATATCTGGAGTGATTCCAGTCTATCAGACCTCTCCTCTCCTCTCCTCTCCTCTCCTCTCCTCTCCTCGCGCTAAAACTCTGAACCACGTGCTCTTCTACATACATTTCTATAGAAACTCTCCGTTTTGACCGTAAAGCAGCTACTATAACCAGAAACTGCATCGGCAGAAAGTGGAACTGCCGCAAGTTTCTTAAAGAACCAGCGCCTATTTAATGAACATCACTATGGCTGACTATATTACAGCTGTATTATATAAATAAACAGCTCTTTACCTTCAGCAGATCAGCTCCTGTTTCTATCTCTGTAAGAGTGAGTTATAAACAGTGTAAACAGTGAAAAAGAGATAACAGCTTTTTACCTTCAGCAGATCAGCTCCTGTTTCTCTCTATTTCTGTAAGAGTGAGTTATAAACAGTGTAAACAGAGTGAAAAAGAGATAAACAGCTCTTTACCTTCAGCAGATCAGCTCCTTTTTCTCTCTAATACCGCAGAGCTCTTCTTCTTCTCCACTTGATTGTCTTTGGAGAACCACCATTATAGAACTAGCGCCCCCAATTGATGTCATCCTGGTGGATCTGGGGTCGATATTTTTCTAATCCCTTCAAAGTGAATTGGTTGAGATGTTTGCAGAATGCAAATTCCATGTGGTACTTCATCCCCCAGCATATTTTTAGGAATATTGGTGGTCCAGATTTACTTTTGAGATGTAATTTTTTAACCTCTAGATTACCAGTAAACTATCTAATTTCCACCAGCAAGCTCTGTTAGCCTGGAAGCTGTGTTACATGCACAACTTTCCTCCTCATAAATCATTACTTTGGGATAATAAAGACATTGTTATCAAATGAAAATCATTATTCTGTCATTCGCATGACAAGGGTGTTACTCATATAATAGATTTATTTAATAATAATGGCAGCTTACTTTCTTATGAACAATTTATGAAAAGGTATCACTTTTAAGGAGTTTATCTCTGTATGCAAAGCAAATCCATCTGGTTTGTCTCTTTTGATGAAAAGTTATCGTGGCTTTGCTGACAAAAGCAAAAGCTTCTATAGAAGACACCTTAATCCTTAATGGACTCTCTATTTTTAACAAAAAATATAATAATACATATATTCAAATCTTATTTCAGTCTAAACGTGAAGTTACCCCAAGAGGGATTTTTTTTCTGGAATTCTCAGACATTGATTGGAAAAACTCATGGTTGCTTACCTACAAGTTTTGCATTCCCAACAAGACTAGAGAGATACATTTCAAGATTATCCATAAAATATATCCCTGTAATCCTCTCTTGTCAAAATTTACAGACACAAATGAATCATGTACCTTTTGTACAGAAGCAAGTGAATCAAGATTTCACTTATTTCATGACTGTCTCTTTGTGTCTCTTTTTTTGGTTTCAGTTTTTTTCTTTTTTTGTCTGTCAATCAAAGTCACACCTTTCACAGGAAAGATATCTTTTGTTATTACAAGTTTGAATGCTGCTCTTGAGTGTATTATAAATTATTTTATTTTATCTGCCAAATATTTAATTCATAAGAGCAAATTTTCCAATTTAATTCCTAGAATTTCAGTTTTTAAAAAAGAAAAGGAATATTTGATTGTTTTTTTTTTTTGTTTTTGTTTTTTGTTGTTGTTTTGTTTGTTTTGTAGCTTTCTTCTTGTGCCTTTGTCTTATGTTTTCAGTCCAAGTAATTTGTCATTGTTTTTGTTTGTTGTTGTTTACTGACCTTGGTGTATTTTTCCTTAGTGTTAGTTTGTAAATCCAAGGACTTGTACAAGCATCCTGCCTCTTTGTTTCTCCCAACGTTACAAAGTGATTAAAACAGTAAAGAAAAAATACTGAAAAGCTGAAGCCTCGTTGCTGCTAACAGCTCAACCTCAGTCTGGGAAGGATCTAAGAGATCTTCAGCTACAAAATGAGAAAGGCCCCCTTCTTCTGAATGACCGCCAACAACCTGAATGAGTTCTACTGAAGACTTAAACACACAAAGGATCTTAAGCCTTTCTCAGCCAGACACCCCCACCCTGGCTTTTTCACCTCTGCCCCTGTTCATCTCACCATCAACAAGCAGGACATTAACAGGCTTTTCAGGAGACAGAAGGTGAGAAAAGCCCTGGGACTTACTCTCTCCATCCACCCTGTTATGTGCCAGTGTAGCACATATTTTTTTTTTTTTTCTTGTTCTGTTCTTGTTTTTTTTTTCTTTTTTCCTCTCTGTCTACCTTTTATCAGGTAGAGAGTGAAAGTAATGAGAGGAGCTGCTGCTGGTTGGCTGCGTTAGCACCATCACCAATCAGGGTCGCCGCTTCCTCATGTGTGGGCTGGTCTTGGCAAACAAAAGAGCCTGTGTCCCCATTACTTGATGACATTACTTCACGCCATGTGCAAGATGAGCTGCCTTTTTGCTGAGAGTGGTTTTGTGTGAAGGTTTTTGTTGAGTTTTAGCTGTGACAAGGCAGGTTAGCTTGTCTTGTTTCTTTCTTTCCTTGGACAACATCCAAAATCCACCCTTTTGAGTTCCTGACAGGGTTGTTTATGCTGTAAATCGTCATTCTATAACTTGTGGATTTGCGTAAGTTGTCTTTTCACATTTGTATTTTGTACATGGTTGTATGACACACTTGAGTAAAGCACTGCATAACTTACCTCAGTTGTGATTGTGATCTTCCTACCCTCAGACCATAACATGTACACCATGTTGCTACCTATTTACTCATCTACACCAAATCAAAATCAACATGGCAACATCAAAATGGCAACATTGAGTCTTGGCCAGTGAACAATATTATGAGGTTGACCTCACTGAGATGGGTACATGCAACACTGCCTTCACATCTGGGCAATAAGACACCTTAGCTTTTATATTGCTTTCCAAAAGGGACAGCCTTTGTCTCAGTAGCACATAAATCCTGCCTTAAAATGATGCCGACTTAGACAGCTGCTTCCTGAATGGACAAGTCACAGCCATATTGATACTGGTTCATAGAAATGGCTTAAAAATGTTCAGGTAGCTGTTGGGTTTGTTTCTGAGTGCTTTAAAGTACCTTAAAGTCATATATTAAACAAAATAATCTACATTGAATAAGAAATTATTATTTATTAAGATATATTTATGCTTTATTATTATAACACATATTACAATATTTCCAAACCCCTTTGGCTTCTGTGCATGTACTGCATGTTTGAGTTCTCCTAAAGTATCTCAATGATGTTGAGGTCTAAGACTGTGAGGGCGACTTCAGAACCTTCATTTTACTCCGCTGCAGCTGCTGAAGGTTCAACTTGGCTGTGTGTCAAAGTCCAAATGCACCACATTCATGCATCATGCATACAAACTGTCCTCCAACAAATCAATTCTGACCAGATTTGCTGTATTTGTTTATATTATTATATTTGTATATTTAGTATATTTATTGATTGAATGTTTCCTCATACTTATTCCATTATTTTTTGTCGTGTTTGTGTAAATGCATAACTGCTGCAGTGAATAAACGGGCAGCTGCCCCATGAACTTCTGGCCAATCGTAGTGCAGGAGGCGGGGTTTGTCAGAATATGGGTGGGATTAGAAAAAGAACGCCCCTAGATCCACAATAAGGACGTCAAATGGGGGCGCTAGTTCTGGTTCTTCACAGACAATAAAGTGAAGAAGAAGAAGAGCTTCGCGGTATTAGAGGGAAACAGGAGCTGATCTGCTGAAGGTGAAGAGCTGTTTATCTCTTTTTCACTCTGTTTACACTGTTTATAACTCACTCTTACAGAAATAGAGAGAAACAGGAGCTGATCTGCTGAAGGTAAAGAGCTGTATATCTCTTTTTCACTCTGTTTACACTGTTTATAACTCACTCTTACAGAAATAGAGAGAAACAGGAGCTGATCTGCTGAAGGTGAAGAGCTGTTTATCTCTTTTTCACTCTGTTTACACTGTTTATAACTCACTCTTACAGAAATAGAGAGAAACAGGAGCTGATCTGCTGAAGGTAAAGAGCTGTTTATCTCTTTTTCACTCTGTTTACACTGTGTTTATAACTCACTCTTACAGAAATAGAGAGAAACAGGAGCTGATCTGCAGAAGGTAGAGCTGTGTCACTTTTCACTGTTTATACTGTGTTTATAACTCAGAAATAGATAAAGAAACAAATTTAAGTTTCTATACTGATAGATTTTCAATAAGATACTCAGTAATGAAGCTGAAAAATTTGTAGTTCTACTAAAGTTTATGCTACTGCTACTGCTTTCTTTGAAGTGAATACTTTTATGGTTTGGCAGGGGCTGCTGATTAAGTTTTTCCCAAGATGATGAACCTCATGGATTACAGACCAACTTAAATTGCCTATTCTGATGGAGCTAGATTGACCAGTGTGTGAGGGGGACTGTCACAATCTTTTCCACATCCTAGATGAAAAATTTTGTGGATAACCAGTAGTCAGTGGCTTATCCGCACGTCACATAAGATCACATAGGAATTTGTAAGAGTGGTCTGCTGACTTTTCTGTATTTTCAGTGGGTTGGACTAAAAAGTCATTTGCCATCTCCAAGGTTTTTTTGGTGTTGATAGTTGTCAGATTCGACCCTGTTCACACGTTTTTACTTTGTGTGTCTGCCATCTCGACTGTATCCTGATTTAGCCACATGCATTTAAATGTGGCTGTCAAATGCATCTCTGGTTAGTCGGATTGAAATCAGATTCCTGTGTAGGTTGGACTATGCAAATCCGTTCATTGTGCAGCAACCAGTTACCAATGTTTTATCTGTTCAGCGCTCAGGCACTTTTATTGTAGTTGTCTTTAGGTTTCCTATACGTTAGTTTCAGGTTCTCTATCTCCCTTTGGCACTGCAGCCATTTTCTTTGGAAGCATTGATCAAGTAGCTGGATAAAATATTACTATAATTAGGTTACTTCGTCTTTACCTAATCTGTTACCTCAGGAAAAGTTCTTCTTTAGAACAGTTGGTGAATGAGACCAAATGTTTTGTAGATAAAGATTTTTCTTTTTTTCCAGTTATCTACTTTAATCCCTGATCAATTGTTGTGTTATGTTTCCCTCCTGTTTTCTCCCCAGAACCATATCACCTTGCAAGTCTCCTGCTCCTAGTGACCAATTTTTAAATAAATTCTAATTACCCTTCAAAAACACATCATGAAACTGCTGAAATAAGGAAAGATTGAATGTGAGAATATGGTGTCCAGAAGCTCCAGTACTCAGAAAACATCCTCTGCTCTCCACAAGAACAAACCTCGTAGACAAACACAAAAGATCACAGGCAAGAAAAGAAATCACCGCTGTTCAGAGTGTGGAAAGAGTTTTACTAAACGGAGTGATCTCCAAAGACACCAGCGTATTCACACAGGAGAGAAACCGTATCACTGCTCAGAGTGTGGACAGAGTTTTACTGTACAGAGTCATCTCCGAGCACACCAGCGAATTCACACAGGAGAAAAACCGTATCACTGCTCAGAGTGTGGACAGAGCTTTAGTCAACAGAGTAGCCTCCAAACACACCAGCGCGTTCACACAGGAGAGAAACCACATCACTGCTCAGACTGTGGACTGAGCTTCAATCAACAGAGTCATCTCCGAAGACACCAGCGCATTCACACAGGAGAGAAACCATATCACTGCTCAGAGTGTGGAAAGAATTTTAGTCTACAGAATAATCTCCAAAGACACCAGCGCATTCACACAGGAGAGAAACCTTATCACTGCGCAGAGTGTGGACAAGATTTTAGAGAAAGTGGTGCCCTCAAGAAACATCAGCGCATTCACACAGGAGAGAAACCGTACCACTGCCCAGACTGTGGAAAGAGTTTTACTACACAGAGTGATCTCCAGATACACAAGCGTATTCACACAGGAGAGAAACCCTATCACTGCTTTGAGTGTGGGAAGTGTTTTACTAGACAGAGTCACCTCCAAACACACAAGCGGATTCACACAGGAGAGAAACTATTGGAGCATTCCAATCAGAAGGCAGCTGTCTAAGTAGGCAGCATTCTAAGGCAGCATTTGTGCACTCCCAAGACAAGTGCCGTCCCATTCGGAAGGCAGCTGCCTTCTAAGGTGCCTTAGTTTTGACCAAATCTGAAGGCAGCATTGCATGTATCCTTCTCAGCAAAGGCGATCCCACAATACCTTTCACCCGCTGAGAGTTCCATCGCTCCGGTCTGATCAACATGGTGGACGAAGCAGACGTTTCTGCCAATCGAGGAGTAGAAACGCAAGTTAATTCTTTAGTGTTTTGATTGTTATATTTGTGTAAAGTATTTAACATATTTGTATCTATAGGTCTCTAGAAATTGTTCCTGTGGTGAAATTCTGGCAGTTTGCTTGTCTAAGGCGAATTGACCGACTGCGGTTTTAACTCGTTAGCTAGTTAGATAAAACCAGCGTTAGTTAGCTTAGCTAGCAGGCTAACTGTGTAAATGCGCCGGCTCTTCAAAACGAGAGAGTCCGGTTTTAAAATACTGGTTGTTCACTGTTTAGTAGCGTTTAGTTTTGTTTAGCGTCAGTACTCAAGGTTTTTTCTCTGTCCTCAGGAACTAACGTTACAGCAGCGGACAGGTGCTGTCTGAGGGGCTGAGGAAGAGGAGCAGTCACAGGGAGAAAACTGCGCTGAAATACCGAAAGCAGCTGGACTTGCCGAGTGGGACCAGCACTACAGACTAACGTTCTCCCTGAATGATGAAAAATACTTTAACTCATGTAGATGTTCAGAAATAAAACGTTTTTTAAAAACAAATACTACAGATGCTTATTTTTGCTGCTCCACTTCTCTTGTATTGCTGTACTTACCACAGTCACAAAAGTGTGAGGTGGATGAGGTCGGAATTAATTGAAATGAATTATAAACTAATAATCATGATTATCTGTATTTATCTGGGCTGCTGAGTCGAGTATATAACAATAGATATGACTCCTTAAATCATCCTGTTCTTCATATACAAATTTCCACAGGAGTGTCAGTGCAGGAAAACAGCTGCTGCAGATTCAGAGCCATCCTTTTACACCAGGATGATCCCCCTTTAGTCAGAGGTGAGTGGAACGAGGGACTGAGAGTAAACAGATAAACCGTGAACAGCACAGTGAAAGATATGACGTCTGATGGCTCTGAAGTGCTGTCCTACTAAGGATTCTTTTTGGTTAAAATGCTGCCCAATAAGAGAGCTGCCTTTGAAGGCAGTGACTAGTTAGGCAGCTGCTTTCAGAATGGAACGCACTATATATCACTCCTTTGAGTGTGAAAAGAGTTTTAGACACAGTGATACCCTCAATAAACACCAGCGGATTCACACATGAGAGAAACCGCATCACTGCTTAGAGTATGAGTTTCAGTCATTCAGATTTTATGCATTACATCTATTCTCCATAACCTGTACTGATTACTGTCTCCTTCTTTCCTCAACATTCAGTACTAAACACACTGAACACTGTACACATTACACATATTCTCCATAAACTACTGATTAATATCTCCTTCTGTACTCTATACTCACTACTGAACACACTAAACATGCATGTTAAAATCACGCAGCCTATCTCTGAAGATTTCTTTTTGGATCTGAAGCTTGGTTTCAAGCCATCTGCATTCAGCCTTTCTACATTTTGTCTTTTGGACTTGAACTGCAGTAGCATTCCTCCATGGCACTTTCTTTAGTGCAATCTCTTCCATAACACAGACAATTGTTGAATTGAAGCTATCCAGCAAAACATCAGAATCAGATGGTTTGCATAGTGCAGAGCAAAATTTTGCTCATGAAACATGCAGCTGTGCTGTCATTTATAAACCTTTTCCTAATGTAATTGTATCTGGTCTTGATGTTTAATAATACAGTAATATAGTAATACAGTAATGGTCCAAAATGATCCAATAAGACACAGAGCTCCTTGACATATTTGGCATTGGAATTGTCAATATGTATGTTAACATCACTCCAACGACACCAAAAAAATATCAAAATGATAGGAGGCCTGTAAACAATTAGCAGTAATATTCTTCATGCCCCTTTCAGAACTGCACAAAGATACTCAAAGGTTGTAAAATCACTCAGTGATAATTACTTGCTTTGGGAAGAATCACAAATAGAGCAGCTACAGCTCCACCTTTCTTGCCAGCATGTGAGACATTTATAATGTTAAAATGTGGCTACAGAACTACATTCATAAACCATCTTTCTGTTAAAAGTCATTGGTTGTGTTTTGTTGTCATTGGTTGTGTTGTTTATTATTATGGCATAAGCTCACCCCTGAAGCCATCATTCGAACTTGAAACTGAACCTTTAAAGAAAAGAATCCTGCAGCATGTCTGGGGAAAAAAGCATAACAAGATGAGCTAACTTTGTAACCTGTACTCTTTGCTCGTGAAGCTGTGACTCGCATTTTATAAACTGCAGATTGGATCTATTCACAATATTTTACATGTACTCTCTTTCTGTTTCTGATAAGTATGGGAATGGGAGAGAATACTGGCACACAGGGTCCAAGCTTGTTTTGAAAACATGTACTGCTGACCTCATCACTGTAGTAGCATGAAAAGCATCAATTTGCCAGATTACATGAAGATGGTGTGTCCTATTCCAGTTCATTGGAGGAGTGTGGATGCAGCTCCTGCTGATGATGAGGTAGAGAGCGAAGCTGCCTTACCATTGGTTGAGGAGCTTGTCTTTCTTTAAGGTGGTATACATGCTGGGAAAGCTCTGTTTAATATGTACTAAACAGAGATTATAAGAGATTAAAGATTAAAATCCAGAACAGAATGGTGTTTGCTTTTCTAAGGATGGGAGGTAAGCAGACTGGTCTGCTGAATAGTGTAATGTTTTAGCAGTTGTCCCATTTGTAGGATGATGTGTGAATTGGTTCACACTGCCAAATATGAAGATGTGCATTAGCATTTTAAGGTTTCTGATCAGAACAAACACATGAGGGACATCAATCAATACAGTGTGGTGTGACGCCCCAAGCCTTCTCTGAGGATACCTGCTTCTGTGAACAAAAATAGAGTATAATCCATTATATTGTAGAGACTGCACACTGTGTAGTGTATTTCACTACTGTTAGAAGTGTTGGAATACACTACACCAGTTAGCAGTTCACCAGGAACCTTGCAAGACTCAGCTATTGAGCAATTAATGTTGAATTGATAAGTAATTTATGGCTAGTTATTCTAAGAAACCATAGTTACTAAGTCATTCTCTGTAAAACTAGTTATTGTTTAGTTAATAGTGAACTACACTAATCATAAGTTCCCTATTATCTACTGAGTAGTTAACTAGTTCCTGCTTAGTTCCTGATTAGTTACTTATTAACTACAGAACAGTATAAGTGTTACCCAATGATCCACTTCACTGGTGTGTAGTCAGCTATTAATGGAGAACTTTTTATTCCGTTCAGAGACTGTGATGTTCTACTCACTTTGGGCTATGAGTCTCTTTTTTTGCCATTAACAGAGTCATCTCCAAAAACAAAGGTGTCTGGTGTGGCTGCGGACTGGGGCCCAGTGGCACTACCAGGGTGCTCTGAGTGGTTTACACTTCTGTTTCTTTCTGCAGTATGTTCACTGCCTTTAGTATCCTCACTAAGGCTTTGCAGTGGTTCAAAGGTGTTCTGACCATGGAGTGACTGTAACCAATATTCTGCTCTAGCTTTGTATTGTAGTCTCTGTGCAGCATGACAGGCTATGCTAATAGGAGTGGAAGATAGACTACAGAGCTGTATGTACCAAGGTCTTTGGCGCTGATGCAGATCAACTGCTGGGTCTGAGATATGTTTTCCTAGCCACACCCCTAGTATCTTGTACGATCACAAAGTCCACAATTTGTTTTGCCTGCTGCAGCTCTGGCACAATGCTGTTGAAAGCTGAGCTGAGGTCCACAAACAGAATTCTTGTGTAGAATCCAGGACAGTCAATATGCTGCAGGATGAAATACAGAGTCAGGTTGGCCTTGTTGACGATAGACCTGTTAGCTCTGTATGTAAACTGCAGGGCATCCAGCAGAGAGTTAGTAATGGCCTTCATGTAGGTTAGGACTAGCCAGAGACCTTCTTGAATACAGAGATAAAAGCACTGGCCTATAATCAATTAGTTCAGTAATATTCATTTTTTGGGAGGGAGGCTAAAACATTAATCGGTGTTTTGAAATGTGGGAACAGGGCAATGCTCCAGTGATCTGTTGAAAATCTTGTTGGAAATCAGTGCTATTTTTTACAGCAGTGTTTTAGGTGGGTGTAGAGTGATGTCCCAGGGCTTTTCTCACCTTTTGTCTGCTGAAAAGCCTGGCAATGTCTTGCTCTTTGATAATGTGATGAGCAGGGGGGAGAGGTGAGAGGGCCAGGGTTGGGGAGAAAGGCGAGAAGAGAAGGAGAAAGGCTGAAGATTGTCCTTTGTGTGTTAAAATCTACAGCAGATCATTGGTGATCGTAGATCGTTGGTAGTCATTCAAGAATATACACAAGTGTTATACATGACAATAAGACAGTACAAAAGGAGAATAAGACCAAAACAATAACAAAAGCTCCTAGCAAAACATATGAGAAAGTGGAAAACAAAGGCAGACAAAGACAGAACAGAATTTGACAAACAAATCTCATTTACCTGCAGTCTGAACATAACCTAACTGTAATGCCTGCTCTTCTGATTCCTCCAGATTTCACCATCTGCAGCATCTCTTAATCAACCCACAGAGAGCCTGTGACACGGGGGAGAATGATTTTGAAGATGTCTGTATGATGTTTCTGTGTTTCTGAAATGATGGGGCTGCTCATTTTCTGGAGTCAGATCCATTACAGGACCCCCCCACACACCCACCAGAGGCAGTAGGGGTAGGCTTTCTGTTCATCAGATGTAATATGTACCATAATATTAATTTGGTTTCTAAATTTATAGAATCATATTCTCTACAAAAGGAGTGTCTAGATTTATTCTGCACCGTTCTGGAGTTCTCTTTATGTTCCATTTTCTCCTGCTGCCCAGTGTATTTAACACACGCTGCCTCTAACTCCATAATTCCAGTGGGAACATTGATAAAAGATAGTTTAATATTAAATATTGGTAATTGAAATGATTTAGTCTAATTATAAATTATTTCTCTTTCTTAAGAATAGAGTATCCAAGACAGTAGAATTGATGCACAGTTAATGTATAAATTTTCGTAGCACTTTATACTATATAAAAGTTCAAGTATTTTCAAGTATTAAATTAGTATTTTTCATTAAGTATTATTTACTTGCCTAAAACATAATAAACAGCTGTGATTATTTTAAATAACATTTCCAGGTTCTTTGCTTTTTTAGCTGATATATCCCTTTATCTACACTCAACTCTCTGGGCTGCTTAAATATCTCATACTTCCGTGTGAGTCTTGATCACTGAATTGTGGCATCAATTTGCAGGAACAGATCTCACCTAGATTTTGGTAAGGGAACCCACTGAAAATCCCCAGGATGTGATACCCTTTCTCCAGCTTGTTGGGAGGTGCCACAAGTGCAGCAAGTGAGACTGTAATTTACAAATTGTTGCTGTATTGGACTGTTTTTACTCTTCACTTTGACTCTGCATGCTGTTCATTATGTAAATGCTAACTCAGATTTAGAATCTCTTTATTCAACTGTAAGTTTCAGGTAAAGGAATTTTATTTGGCACACTGGAAACTATAAATTATCACACTGAACAAATGTAAAGTGCACTGACTTACTGACAAAGTTACAGAAGAAGAAGTACAAACCAAATCTCAGTATAGACATAAGAGACAGTCGGGGTGATTTTGGCACTTTCTGTGAAAAATGTACTTCTTTCTTGGGTGTTTTTGACAAAGTATGATTGAAAGTATTCATCCTTCAAAAAATGTTATTGTCTACCTCAGGCTGTAAAATCAGAGACTATCTGAGCTGTTTTTTCTGAAATGCACAGCATGTTTTGCACCCCTTGTTACCAAATTTCAGGGAGATATATATTAATATAAATGTATAAATGATATTTAAAAGCCTGTGTCAATTCAGTTCATTATTTTGTAGCAAGAAATACAGAAATTCATGGAATGCTTTTAGAACTTTTCAAATAAAAAATAAAAATGAAAAAAAAAAATGTGTTTTTTTTTTCTTTATGAACAAACAAATAGTGGTTGTTCTCTTGTAATATTAATTTAAACTAATGACTTTCCTTGCCAAATTGACACTTCTGGTAACATAAGCCACAAAAATAAATGTTTTGAGGCTATTTTTATGAAAATGACAATAACAGGGTTGAAACCTGGCTAACAGGGTAGAAGTGCATGACAATGTTAAACATGCAGCAACAAACATTTATAGTATATATTATATAGCAGATTCTATTTACATAACACAAATTAGCTGAATATAATTAATAATTAAAAACGGGGTAACAGGGTTGTGAATTTATCCTAAAATAAATAGAATTAGAATCTAGAATTACATAAATAAACTTTCTCTCTCTCTCTCTCTCTCTCTCTCTCTATATATATATATATATATACAAATTTCTTTTTTGAATAACAATTTGAATAATCAACTTTTACTCAGTGCAGTCTCATTTGTTTTCTGAGTGTCTGTCTGGTGGTCACTTTGCAGAGAACAAGAAGTTTTAATCAATTTAAAATGGTATGTTGGTATATTCACTTTATTATCATGCATCATATAATCTGCTGCACTCATTTTCCATTTGTATTATAATATTATTTATTGAATGAGCTCCGTCATCCTTATTCTATTATTGTATGCCCTATTTGTGCAAATTCAAAACTGCTGCAGCAAATAAATTAGCGACTGCTGTTATGAACTTCTAGCCAATCCTAGCACAGGAGGCGGAGTTCGCTGGTAGGATTAGAAAAATACCGCCCCAGATACACAGTGATGGCGTCAATTGGGGGTGCTAGTGCTATACCGGTGGATCTCCAAAGACAATAAAGAGACGAAGAGCTCTGCTGAAGTTAAAGAGCTGTTTATCTCTTTTTCACTCTGTTTATAACTCACTCTTACAGAAATAGAGAGAAACAGGAGCTGATCTGCTGAAGGTAAAGAGCTGTTTATCTCGTTTTCACTCTTTTATGTTACCCAGCTGTAATTTAATCAGCCTTAGTGATTAATTATATAGGCGCTTTAAGAAATTTACGGCAGTTTCACTTTCTGTCGACGCAGTTTCTGGTTTATAGTATCTGCTTTCTGATAGACTGCAGTCACTCCAGATACCTTCTAGATTGAATTGTTTACTGATTCTCCTGCGAGGTGAGCGTTCTCTGTATCTGTGTGTGTCCTGGTCCACAGTTACTAAGAGTTGTACTAGTTTTCAACACTAAATCTGAAAGTGTTCTAAATGCATTCCTAGTCTGTTAACTCTTGATGAAAGTTTTAGCTGTGTCGAGAAAGTAGGTTCAGTGACTGTTTTGGTACTTCATATTTTATTCATGTGGGCTTGTTGCTGCAACGCTGCAAATAAGACCAATTATTGAGTAAGTTCAGATCGATTTTAGCGCGAGGAGTTCAGAGGTCTAATAGACTGCAGCCAGTTCTAGATATAATTCTGTTTACTGATTCTCCTGTTGGACTGGTGGTGTAACCAGCCTGTAATACCCAGAATGTTCTCACAGGCGTGTCTGTCCTTAAACTGACCCTTAAGACTTTTTTCTTCACATGGAAATTTTAAAGTGTGGATATTTTGAACAGAAGTAATAATCAAATGAGAGCAGTTTTGAACAGATCTCAGTGTTCTGGTGATGGGAGAGGGTGGTGGGGAGGGGCTCACAGGTCCTTAGGAGGTGAGAACTGACAGAGATGAGGTGTGAAGAGGCTGCAGACAGGGTGTTGTCAAGGTTAAAGAATGGGGGGGGTTGTTGTGAATTTGCTGTTCAGTTTAGGGGTTTGCTGTTGAATTTGTATGGGGATCCTGGTTAAGTGTGGGTGGGGGCTGCCTTTGAAGTTTGGGTGGTGGGGGTTCTGGTTAAGTTCTCTTGGGTGAACCCTGTATGTAATTTCAGATGCAGGTGAGTAAAGTGTTTCCTAAGTTTAGGAAGTTTTGTAAGTTTTGTAAGTTTAGAAACATCTACAGCTTTAGTTCAGTGAGACTATAGATTATATCCATGGAAGCCACACCTTCCTCCATATCCTAGATGAATACTGGTTTTTGAGGGTGGAGAACCAGTAGCCAGTGGCTTTCTTTTCACATCACACAGTTCACTGTAACTTATGCTTGGTGAGCTTATTTTAATTTTGATATTGACTGTCTAAACTGAACCAGCAGTGTTTGAGGCATCCTAATTTTACTTCAGCCATCTCAAGAAATGCAGGGGCTGCTTGGCTTTTTTCATAGCTGGTGTGGTTTATCTCTCCCATTTGAGGTTCTGCTCCAAGGTTTTATGGGTGTTCAGAGTTGTCGGCCTTGATCCCAGATGCCTTACTTGTGATTCTTTGATTTGGTATCTTTCGTTAACAACCACAAATTTAAAATGCTGCAGTAAACTTATATCAGTCATTGAATCTATGTTCAATCAACATTAAAGCATCAACTTTTGCTTTTACATGATTTTTTAAATGATATTTATTTACTATATTTACTTTTAAATTATATTTATTAATTTCCAAACAGAAAAAATACTGTGGCATAAAATGTTTTTAAGTATTGTTGTATTACACAAAACAAAAATATAACATTTTAAAGATAAAAATTTTCTGAATACCACCAGTTTGCCTGTAGCAACACGCCACATTTCTTTTAGGGAAAAAAAGGATCTTTTGTATCAAACTGCTGGAAAATAGGAGCAAAACCAAAAGTGCATGTATATTTTTGTTACATTATACATATTTTCTTTTTATTGTACACATTTTTCCCTTGTATGCTCATATCTGCCTCTGGAATAGAGTGCTTTACTATAGGTTTTCCCCCCGTCTGATCTTTAAGTAACATTAGTGGAATCTTCCAGCGTTGCCACTTTTATCGCCTCTTTCAGAATCAGATTGTTTCCTGGCTGAGGATGGATTTTCTAATTTCTCTTGGTGCTGATATTAACAAAAATAATTTTTTGAAACAAAATCTTGTGTGTCAGTTGTTGTGTCCCTGCATTTAGTATGTTGATGCAGCCTCCCTTTGCCCCATAACAGCAGTGAGTCTGCTCTCCTCTAATACTTGATCAGACTGGAGAACACAGAGCCTGGGATGACGGTGTTAAATGCTGAGCTGTAGCCAATAAATAGCATTCTGACACACGTTTCCTTGCCCTCCAGGTGTGTGAGGGCTGTGTGAAGGGCAGTGTTGACTGCGTCGTCTGTGGACCGGATCCAATGGTATGCAAACTGGAGAGGATGTATAGTGTTCGGAATGGTCTCTTGGATATGAGTCATGACTATTCTCTCAAAGCACTTAATCACATTTGGGGTGAGTGCAACAGGGTGATAGTCATTTAGGCAGGTCACAACGCTTTTCTTTGGGAGGGGCACGACGGTGGTGGTCTTGAAGCAGGATGGCGAGCACATAGCATGGACCGAACTTCACCGTTTATCCAAGGTTTCTAGTTGGGATATTTTTTGCAGCGCTTTGTAGGAAAAATGCTTTCAATGCAGCTGCTGACGTAGCCTGTTACCCCAGAAGCATAGTCCTCTAGATCAACAGTACAGTCCTCTCTCACAGGAGCAGTTCTGAACACATCCCAGTTTGTACTGCCAAAGCAGTCCTGAAGCACTAGATCAGTTTCTTCGTTCCACACCAGTTTTGCTCACTGGAATTGCTTGCTTGAGGAGTTGTGTGTATGCTGGGTAGAAGAACACGGAGATGTGGTTGGACTGTCCGAAGTGCGGCCGAGGCACAGCCCTGTAGGCCCCCTCACGTTGCTGTAGACTTGGTCAAGTATGTTGCTCTCCCTCGTCGGAAAGCTCACGTGCTGATGATATTTGGGGAGGACAGTCCTCAGGTTGCAGTGGTTGAAGTCGCCGGCAACAATGAACACGGCGTCCGGGTGCACGGCCTCTTGTTTACTAATGGCATCATGCAGCAGCCCTAGCTCCATGGCCGAGTTCGCATGTAGCAGGATGTAAACAGCCAGAATAAACAAAGCACTGAACTCTCTAGGCAGAGAAGAGGATGTGCACTTCACCATCAGCAGTTCTAAGTCAGATGAACAGTGTTTTCCAACAGTCCTTACATCGGAACACCACTTGTTGTTCACATAGATGCAGACACCGCCGCCTTTGTTCTTCCCTGATGCTGCCGTCCGGTCCCCGCGGTGGACGGAGTGCATTTCTAACTGGATCGCTGAGTCTGGCATGCTGTCCAAGAGCCAGGTTTCCATAAAAATAAGAGTACAGCACTCTCTGATCTCACGCTGAGTTGTTATTCTGGTTCTCAGCTCATCCAGCTTGTTTTCAAGGGAGCGAACATTAGCTAGCAACAAGCTAGGTAGCGGTGGCTGCGTAGCCCTAGCCTTTAGCCTAGCATGTAGCCCACCTCTCTTGCTCCACTTCCGCTTTGGCCGCTCTGTTCGTCGGCTGCGCTGCTCACCCGAGGCCAGTGCTGCTGGGCCTTGCCGGCTGGTGCTGGTGGAGTATGAGCGTAAAAGAAAGTCCGAAAGGCTAAAGGTAAGTTCATGATGAACTTTACTCATCTCCAGGAGTGCCTCTCTACTGTAACTAACTGTTCCGTACGTATACTGTACATTTAAAAAAAAAATACTAATGTTAAAATAAACAATAAATAGCATTGGTTGCAGGAGGAACACACAAAGACGTCTGCCATGGTGGGCACCATCTTGGAACCATCTTGAAAAGCAACTGGTCACTTAATATTCCCATTTTGTGATCGTTTTTTAAGTACTGTTAAAAGTCACTGTTTTAGAATTTAGTGATTAAGCTTTGTTTGTGGGTCCATCTGACTGTGAGGTGAGGTGGAGACTCCCCCTTCCCATGTGCAGATGGAGGAGTTGGGTGAACCTGTTATAGTTGTGCTTGGGCTAGCGTTTTGCCTTTGGTATTCTGCTCTCTTTGTAGGGGTCAGAGATGTGACAAGCATTAAAAGCCCACTGTAAAGGAGTTGGAGGCTGAGGCAGGAAGCCTGACTGTGAGAGTTGGAATTACAGATGAAGCCATTCTCCTCTCTTCCAACAACCCAGGTGGTTCCAGAAAGCAAAACTTCAAATGGGCAAGCGTATTTAAACGTTTTAGTTCAGAGACTGCAGTGATTGTAGACTGTGCATGTGCAGCGCTGGCGCCATTTCTAACTAAAATTGTTACACATTTCACACATTTGTATTTGCTCATTCACTGTTTGCTATATTTGGCTTTTTTTTTTTACCTTATTCATAATCTTTCAAGTATATTTCTTTTCCTGAATATTTTTTTTTTTTACCTTAATTCTGCATTCTTTGCAACAGTTATTCATTTTCTAGTTTTTAACTAACCTTTACTTTTCTCTGGGGATGCTGAGAAAATGTTGGCTGCCACCAAACTCGAGCTCTGGACGATGAGCAGCCCAGGACACCTCATATGCAGCAGTTTCAGGACCAACATGTCCAGTGATGACTTCTACTCAGCCGGATGGAGCACTGTCCATGGCTAACTTTGACTTTACACATGCACCTCAGCAGGGCTGGGAATGCCAGTGTAGCCAAGGGAAAAAGATGATCTTCACCAATTCCTCTTCCACCAGACTTCACCTCCAGTAACCAGTTGAAAGTTCTCTGCCTGGTTTAGCGCCTTAGATAATAACTCAAGACAGTGTTGTAATAACCAGAGATAATCAGACATCTGAAAGTAGCTGTCTCTAGAGGTAAGGCAGCTACCTCTTTTTTTCCTTGTGCCTGGGTTTTGGATATTTCCAAGTGCTTTCCCATGGCTCTGAGCAAACATGAAGACGTCAGCACCATGGTTATTCACGCAGGGATGAATGACATCTTATCCAATCAGAGTGAAGCCCTGAAGGACCATTTCGGATTACTTCCAATTTACTTCTGTTTTAAGTTGAAAGGTATGCTGTAAATAAGACTCATCTATAATGCTGACTGAAGTAACAAGCCATTATTACCCATCTGTTTGTCTAAAAAATTGTCAGTGTAAATTTCAAAGCCACATGCGATCTACTGTGGCTTTTTGTGGTCTTATTAAGGGTTTAAAAGAACATAGTAATAACAAAACAGTGAGTGACACACTAAGCTGTGCAAAGAAATTGAACAGTGCTGAGAGTCAAATGCTTACTGCTGTAGAAAGTTTACATTACTTCTCTCAAAGCCAGTTAGGAAGACCGACCCCCACTTGAGCTCAGGGAGTCAAGGAGTGCATTCTCTCCAACTCTCAGTTTATTAAATTATACACATAAATATATATGTATATACACACACACACACACACAAGAGCGGTCAGGTACTCTTGCACCCACACCCTGTTATGCAGATCCCCCTAACCACAAGGCCCCTTCATCCTGTCTTTGTTGTTCAGCCTCAGGCTAGGGTACAATTCATTGAACACTTCCCGATATCCTTTCAGGCGTTAGGACACATTCTGAACATCAGAAAACATTCTGAATCAACAGTGAAAACTGCAGGATAACCCGTGTTGTCTTCTTTAATTCAGTGAGAACAGCATCAACACATCACTGTGCAGTTCAGACGGAGATTTCCATCAGGACCCTTTTCATCTCACTCAGCACAGCAGAGCTAATCCTGGAACGGAATCATGGCTCTTCACAGTTCTCAGAAGATGAAACTTGAAAACTGCATCTTCTCTTCAACTTTGACAGCTTACTGATTGCTGCATTATTAAGTGACATCAAATAGGGAATTATTTTAATAAACAAAACAGTAATATTTTGGAAATCAATTCTTCTACATAATTCTGTTTAAGCAATTTGTTGTTATGTCTACTAACAAATTTTAACAGTGTTACAACGACTTTTGGGAAAAAACAAACAAAAAAAAAACACATTTTATCTTATCAAATCAAGTTTTTAGCTATTATACATGTGTATAACATTCCCACAGTTTGAGCAGTGAAACGATTATTCTCGGGTGTGAATGTGCCAATGTTTTTGTAGATGACTCTGTGTAGTAAAACTCTGTCCACACACTGAGCAGTGATACGGTTTCTCTTCTGTATGAATGTGCTGGTGTCTTTGGAGACTAATCAGTTGACTAAAACTCTTTCCACACTCTGAGCAGTGATACGGTTTCTCTCCTGTGTGAATGCGCTGGTGTGTTTGAAGGCTGCTCTGTCTACTAAAACTCTTTCCACACTCTGAGCAGTGATACGGTTTCTCTCCTGTGTGAATGCGCTGGTGTGTTTGGAAATAATTCAGTCTAGTAAAACTCTGTCCACACACTGGGCAGTGATACGGTTTCTCTCCTGTGTGAATGTGCTGGTGTGTTTGGAGATGACTCCGTTGACTAAAGCTCTTTCCACACTCCGAGCAGTGATATGGTTTCACTCCTGTGTGAATGCGCTGGTGTCGTTGGAAATTACTCTGTGCAGTAAAACCTTTTCCACAGTCTGAGCACTGATACGGTTTCTCTCCTGTGTGAAAGCGCTGGTGTAGCTGGAGACTAATCAGTTGACCAAAATTCTTTCCACACTCTGAGCAGTGATACGGTTTCTCTCCTGTGTGAATGCGCTGGTGTGTTCGTAGATGAGTCTGTGTAGTAAAACTCTTTCCACACTCGGAGCAGTGATATGGTTTCTCTCCTGTGTGAATGCGCTGGTGTGTCCGGAGATGATTCTGTCTAGTAAAACTCTGTCCACACTCGGAGCAGTGATATAGTTTCTCTCCTGTGTGAATGCGCTGGTGTATTTGAAGATTCCTCTGTGTAGTATAACTCTTTCCACACTCTGAGCAGTGATATGGTTTCTCTCCTGTGTGACTGCGCTGGTGTGTTTTGAGGCTACTCTGTGTAATAAAACTCTTTCCACAGTCTGAGCAGTCATGAGTTCTTTTTTTGCCTGTAATCTTTTGTGTTTGTCTGTGAGGCGTCTTCATGTGGAGAGCAGCTGCAGAGGATGTTTTCTGAGTACCACAGCTTCTGGATACCATATTCTCACATTCACTCTTTTCTAATGTCAGTAGTTTCTTGATGTGTTTGTGGATGCTGATTCAACATTTGCAGGAAAGCACTTGATCACTTGGAGCAGGAGATCATTCTGGAGGAGAACAAGGGTAAATAACAACAGACTGATCAGAAATTGTAATAGATAATGAAAAAATGTACATATCGGTCTACAAAACAATATTTTATAGAAACAATATCATAAGAAATATAAAATACAGAAAACAATCTCAGTATAGTAAATACTTTGACACATTATCTGTTCATTATTATTATTATTACTATTAATACCACTACTACTACTAATTATTGTTTTTATTATAAGATGCTTCTAAAAGGCATACAGTGAGTCACTGCAGTCTCTATGCTGGACATTATCATTGGCTTGATTCACCAAGGACTGTGAGCATTACAGCTTGTGTGGAAACTATATCAGTGTGAAACATGTAAAAAACTTCACCAGAACCATGGTGAACCTCTTGACCACACAAAATTCACTTTTACAAGCAAATCAGAGCCACAAACATTTTTAAACTGAAAAAGATTATGCATCTCCTCTTTGTAGACTACTACTTCAAAGATGTGCAGCTGACTTATCTGGGTGCATGAAGTACAAAGCTTATCACTTAATGCACCACATTACCCACAAGCTAACAGAGGCAAGCAGAATGGCAAATATTGAAAAACATATTTTTTAAATAGCCAGGGATGTGATGCACAGTGAAAAGCATCAACAGCAAAGAAATCACAAAGCCAGTTTTAAAATACCAAAAGTCTTCATTCAGTGCCAAAATTTAATGAAATAATTTGATGTGCTTGAGAAAAATCACACTTGAACGGTATTGACCTTGGTCTAAATAGCCAGTGTTCAGAGAAATCTAGGTAGAGTACAGGAGACATATTCAGCTGTATGATGACAAAAGTTCTAAATAAAGATGTGATTAAATTTAATGAAACCTGACTAATTAAAGAAAGGTCTAATTAAAGTTAGCCCCACCGATGGCAGCCTCTGTGATAGCTTTATACATATTGTGTTTGTTTTTGTTTGGTGATGTCATTTCGAGCAAAGCTCTACCTAGTGAGAAAGCGGCAGAGGCAGGAGAGCTGGAGCGCTTGTAAGGTTGAGACAGTGTGGGGCACGTACACATTTACCATAATAATTCCTCCAATTGCGATCCCTGCACAACAAATTCGATGAACTACTTCTGCTCAATCAAACCAACAAGGACTTTTCAAACACATTTGCTCTCTGCTTCACGAAGACTTCCCCAGCTTCCAGCTGCACAGTGTGGACGCAGAGCTCTGTGGCTAAACCAGAAGAGAAGAAATCTGCTTCTACATCAATGAATGTTGGTGTAAAGACATCACAGTACTGTTAAAATTGTGTCACTTTTCATCAACTACAAACTGTTCTAGTTTTCTTCTTTCATTTCGGTCACTGTTACACACCGCACAAGCAAAGCGCAGAAACTGTTGGCCGATCAGATAAAGAAAGTAGAAAGAGAGAATCTGGATTCATTATTCATCATTATGGGAGACTTTAACAGTGCAAATCTAACTAAAGAAGTAGAAACAGCATGTTATCTGTTCCATAAGAGAAGGGAACACTTCAGATCATTGTTACACCACTATTAAAAAATGCCTATTGCCCCATCATGCAGAGTTCTCAGTCATTCCAACCACAGTCTTGTTCACCTCATCCATGAATACAGGCAGAAACTCAAAACCAACAAGCCTATCATCACTATAGTGAAAAGGGGGACCAGCAGGGACACTAAAAAGCTACAGGGCTGCTTTGAATGCTTTTTGAAGATGCACCAGAGAGCCTAGATAGGATATGACATGTATGACAAACAGTCAGGGTTGGGATAGCTACTGAAAAATTAGTAATTAGCTACTTCGTAGCTACTTTCCCAAAATTTGTAGCTAGCTTCAATTTAGCCACTTTTCCAGAAAAAGTAGTGGCTATTTTTTAGCTACTTTTTGAAAAATAGTGCACTACTTTTTAGCTACTTTCAAAGTGTGACTGTCAGAATGTTTGTGAATTGCCACCTGACACACCAAACAAGCGCAACTTAAAATGCGAACAAGTCATTTCAGCAAGATCTGTACAGACATGACATTCAGAGCCCTTTAAACTTCAGCAACACCTTAACCTCAAAATTCTCATCAGTGACGCTGGCTCTGTTTGGGGTGAGAATCAGGCCTGAATAATCTCTCCACTGCTGCAGAGCTGTTACGGCTCCAGAGCAGAACTAGATTTTTAGGTAAAATAACATAATCCATAATCTTTGTTGTAAAATTGTTATAACACACAGTTCTCACAATAAATGGTCTTAAATGCTGGAGTTAATGTAGAACTGCTAATTCACCAACCTTTAATGCTGAAGACTGAAGCGCAGACTACTGGACACACAGCAATGCAGATAACGAAACGGCAAATAGAGAGATTCAAGACAAACATTGATAATTTGGAGATGGATGGACTTATTTGCAGTTATAAGCGCTCAGCTTGTTTCCTGATACGTTTAACCTGCAACAACTAGCAAAGATGAAGTCAGCTTCTCATTCTGCTTCTTGTTACAATTCTCCCATTCCACCTTAGATGGCGCAGCTGTACAATCTGGCGCCTCAGGCACCATTTAAGGTGCAACATCACAATTCGAACAAGAAGCAGGAGAATGAGAAGCGACTTCAGCCTCGTAAAAAGTCGAACATTAAGAGACATTTTACAAGAAACTCACAGACAAGTTTCCTGAGGTGCGAGAAAAGCGGCTGTAGCTGAGCTAAAGGTTAAAGCAGAGCAAAGTAAGACATGAGCAATACGGCAAAAATATATACAGTAAAATGAAAACATGCATGGTGTAACAAAAATATAAATGCAACACTTTTGGTTTTGCTCCTGTTCTGCAGCAAGAAGATTTCAAGATGGCGGCACCCTGTATGGCAGTGGCTACTTAGGCTTCCCTTTAAAGGTGTGTTTTACATTAAATGTATCATCTCTCTCGACTACAATAGCAGTACTTTGCTCAGACTTTGTGCATCCAACTCATCTAACAACTTACCTAGCAGTTTACTGCCTTTGGAACCCAAAACACTCTGCAAAATGGGGATTCTACACTGGCAAAACCCAGAGGCTTGCACAGCAGCAGTCTTGCCTACCATCATCGACTGCCACAGGAAGCAACATAAGTGAGGAGAGAGATCGCGCAAATGCTAAAAGCTAACCCCCCAGGCCAGCGCTTCCAGCTATTCTGTTGTCAAACATCTGCTCGCTAGAAAAAAGCACAGTTTGGCTCACAAGTGTTACATCCTGTGTCGATGTTTCTTTTTTTTCTCTCTCTGTCTGAGTGTTCTCAGGTGGTCGTTGCTGCATGACTGACGTCCCGTTTCTCCCGGCATGTGATTGGCTGTTCCAGTTGGCGCCAGCTATAAAAGGCCTTTGGTGCTGGATCAATATGGAGCATTTTTTTCTTGTTCAGCCTCGCACGGTTCCGCTCCCCTGACTGCCCGCCAGTCCACAGACCAGTTATTGTTGGTGATTCGCTGGCCTACAGGTGGTTTTTTTAACCAAGGAAACGTAGGGGTGGCCTGCCTTTTTTGTTTGATCTGTTTGACTTTGTTTATTGGTAGTGTAGTGAGGGTGGTGTTTTTGTAATTTCCTTTCCCTTTTTTTGTTAGTTTAGTTAGTTATTTTTTTTTTCATTAGGCTCTTTTGTTTGTTATTTTGGGCCTTGGGCCTCCCTGAAGTTATTTTTCCTTTATTTTTTTTGGTTTCCTTGCTTCAGTTGCATGCTGAAAATAATTTTGATGACTGGATGAAAGTGCAAAGCATTGAATAAATTGTCAAGTCTGTACTTGATGTGTTTATTATTTATTAATTAGAATTTTTTCTTTGTTCTGGTCTGGCATCTGAGCAGGCAGTCTTGCTTCCTCTTTGTGCGTCTTACCCCTAGGAGATGTAACAAAATGGGGGCTCGTCCTGTTTTTTCATTCGTTTGTTCGGGGTCATTGTGATGGAGTTTAGTATAGAGGAGTTTAAACAGTTTCCTACTTTAGATGCTTTGTTGGGTTGTCATAAGACTGATTTGTTGTTAGTTTCAGATTATTATGATATATCTGTTCCTAAGACGGCTACTAAACAGATGATAAGGGGGGTGCTTCTGGAAAATTTAATTGCGGCTTGTATTTTACCCGCTGAAGCTTCTAGTTCAGATTTAGGGAATGCAGATACAGTCACGTTGGTTGAAAAGCCGGTAGTTGAGGGTGAGGCTTCGGCTAAAGTTCCTGTTATAAATGAGGATCCTGTTTTGCATTTGTTAATTGGTCAGAGTTTGGAAACTCTTAGGTTAACTATTCGATTAAAGGAGCTTGATCTTGAAACTAAACGTCAGGAGCATGAGATACAACTTTTGCGCGCTAGACAATATGAACTTGAACATGGGCATGTGCGTCGGGTCGAAGCTTTGCCTTCAACACTGCAGGCTCCTATGTCTCTGTGAATCTGGTTCCCACCTCTCCTGTACTTGTTTTAAATGCCACGTCTTTGTCCCCCAGGTTACCTTCCCCTGTAAGCCCCAGTGAATTTGACGTTAGTAAGCAAATTCATTTGGTTCCCACTTTTAGGGAGACTGAAGTTGATGCTTACTTTGGCGCATTTGAGTGTATAGCTGCTGCCTTACGCTGGCCTCGAGAGGTTTGGCAACTTTTGTTGCAGTGTAAATTAACTGGGAAAGCCCAAGAAGTTTGTTCTGCTTTGTCTCTCAAAGACAGTCTTAATTATGACTCACTAAAAGCCACTATTTTAAGGACTTATGAGTTGGTCATTTAAAAACTGCCAATCAGACTTATGTAGAGTTTGTCCGTGAGAATGGTACGCTTTTTGATAAATGGTGTCAGTCCAGCAAGGTGAGTAATTATGAGCAACTCAGTGAACTTATTTTATTAGAAGATTTAAAAAATTTGTTACTAGAGAAGATTGGGGTGCATTTGAATGAACGAAAAGTTGCTGCTGTGGCACA